CCTTAATTTATACTTCTTGTATTCCCACCCTTTCTGCTCTTACTTACTGGCTTTCAGAGCTAATTAAGCCTTCAATTTATCACTTTCCTTAATTTCTTTTTATTTTTTTAAAACTTTTATTTAATAAATATAAATTTCTATAGTACAACTTTTGGATTATAGCGGTTCTTCCCCCCCATAACCACCCTCCAACCCACAAATCATCCCATCTCTTACTCCCTCTCCCATCCCATTCTTCATTAAGATTCATTTTTAATAATCTTTACATTCAGAAGATCAACTTAGAATGTACTAAGTAAAAATTTCAACAGATTGCACCCACACAGCCACACAAAGTATAAAGTACTGTTTGAATACTAGTTTTACTGTTAATTCGCATAGTACAACACATTAAGGACAGAGATCCTACATAGGGAGTAAGTGCAAAGGGACTCCCGTTGTTGATTTAACAATTGACACTCTCATTTATGACATCAGAAATCACCCGAGGCTCTTGTCATGAGCTACCAAGGTTATGGAAGCCTCTTGAGTTCACAAACTCCAACCTTATTTAGACAAGGCCATAATCAAAGTGGAAGTTCTGTCCTCCCTTCAGAGAAAGGTACCTCCTTCTTTGATGGCCCCTTCTTTCCGCTGGGATCTCACTCACAGAGATTTTTCATTTAGGTCATTTTTTTTCCAGAGTGTCTTGGCTTTCCATGCCTGAAAAATTCTCATGGGCTTTTTAGCCAGATCCGAATGCCTTAAGGGCTGATTATTAGGCCAGAGTGCTGTTTAGGACATCTGCCATTCTATGAGTCTGCTGTGTATCCTGCTTCCCGTGTTGGATCTTTCTCTCCTTTTTAGTTCTATCAGTTATTATTAGCAGACACTAGTCTTGTTTATGTGATCCCTTTGACACTTAATCTTTTTTTTTTTTTTTTTTTTCCGGACAGGCAGAGTGGACAGTGAGAGAGAGAGACAGAGAGAAAGGTCTTCCTTTTGCCGTCGGTTCACCCTCCAATGGCCGCTGTGGCTGGCGTGCTGGTAGGAGCCAGGTACTTATCCTGGTTTCCTATGGGGTGCAGGGCCCAAGCACTTGGGCCATCCTCCACTGCACTCCCTGGCCACAGCAGAGAGCTGGCCTGGAAGAGGGGCAACTGGGACAGAATCTGGCGCCCCGACTGGGACTAGAACCCAGTGTGCCAGCGCTGCAAGGCAGAGGATTAGCCTAGTGAGCCGCGGTGCCGGCTGACACTTAATCTTATCTTTATGATCAGTTATGAACTTAGACTGATCACTTTAACTAGTAAGATGGCATTGGTACATGCCCACTTAATGGAATTTGGAGTCCCATGGCAAGTTTCTAGCTCTAGCATTAGGGGTAAGTCCGAGTGAGCATGTGCCCTTAATGAATTCTAACCAGTTTTAACCCTCATGTGAATGAGGGGGGATCCCTCAAATCTAATTTGAACTAGTAAACTCGGGCAAAATTTAGACACCATAGCATGAGAATGATTGAATACCTAGATTTCTGAACCAAAGAGATGTTTAAAACCTGTAAGCCTATAGATTCAACTTATTGTCTAGTAACTAAATGTTTAGTTGTGATTAACTGTTGACTGTTTCTGTATTTGTGGTGGTGGTGATAGAAGTGGGAAAGAATGTACACAAGCCTGGGAAGTAGAACTTTGTGCTTTCATGTTGTTAAAGTAGCACTGATTAACATGACAGTGAACATACTTTTGAGTAACTAGGAACAAGTGGTTAGTGTAGTTGTAAATAGAATCCTTGGTAGTTATCTTTCTAATTTACCAGAGTGGGAAAAGTGATTATGCCCTCACTTTTTGAGAGAAATGAAAGACAGAAGCCCGCTTTTTTCCTTTTATTTACCTTTATGGAGCCAATGTTCCCGCTGCATCTTGGATGTGCTTCCCACCATGAGGTCTGCTGACAACATGATGAGGCATGTTCCTCATGGAGTTCCCCATGAAGAGCTCAGACAATAGTCGACGTAGTGGCAGACATGCTGGAACGAGCAGGAGGCACATACTGGGGAGCCATCCAAACCTCATTTGGTATACGGGCTCCCATCTATTCTGCTCGTAGATTTATTATTATTGGCAGCAGGCAGCCTCTGGTTGCCCTGCTTGCTGCTCCCATGCAACATGTGTTATCAGTAGTCAGATTCTAGTTGTCCTGCATGCCCACTGCTCCCTTGAAGCAGGTTCAATAAATCTAACTGCTCACTCAAAAAAAAAATAAAAATAAAAAAGACTGCTAGTCCATTCCATACCACCAATGCCAATTTCTTGCATCCTGGACTTTTCATTTAAATCTAGTGGACTCAGAGTAGGCCTTGTGTTACTGTCATAGACTTAATAGGGCTGAAATAACATTTACTGAATCACAGAATGGTATATATTTTTCTTTTGAATCTGTGTTTTCTTAAGGGCTGGGAATCAACCTACACACACTCCCCTTTCATTGGGAAGAGTTTTGGTTTTAATATAAGTTAGCTTGACTATTGCAGAGAAAAGTCACGGCATTTTCTTTTTCTAATCATAGTGACCAACTGTGATACTTTAAAGGTCGGAATCACTTGTCATCCAGATTGGGGTCAGCAGAAATATATTTCATCTTTGAAAGAAAACAACCAGATCAATTTCATCACAAAAGAATGATTTGGGAGCATAAAAGCACCCCTACCCACAACACGCACGTACACAATTGTTCAATAATAGTAAGATGGTTACAAGGGGCAATTGTCAGACCGTAAAAATCATCAATCAAGTTCTATAGGAGACTGGGTAGCCAACGAAGAGGCTTTTGGGGATAAGGTAGCAGCTATTGGGAGTATGAAACTTAGGTGAACACCAAATCTACCTTCTCAAAAAACAAAAATTAAACAATCTGCAGAAATAAAACATTATGTCTGAAACTTGAAAAACACTATGTTCCCCTCACCATTCTAAATGTATATGTGACTATCGGTTGTGTATTGCCTTGTAATAAAACATATCAAAAGTTAGCACTTAATACAACAATCGCTTATTAAGTTCATGTTTCTATACAGCATCAGTTTGGGCTGGGCTGATCAGGACATTTCTTTCATTGTTTCATTGAAGTGCACTCATGCATTTATTGTTAGTTGCTAATTCTATGGTGAGTCAGTGAACTATTTGTGGGCTGGTGTATCCAGGTGACCTCACACATCTAGCTGAGAATGAATGTCTATTGGCTAGTATGGCTCATAATGGCTGGGACTGGGCCAGTCTAAAGCCAAGAGCCTGGAACTCCATCCAGGTCTTCCTCGCTGGTGGCAAGGTCCCAAGCATTTAGGCCATCCTTTGCTGCTTTCTCAGAACATTAGCAGGGAGCCTGATAGTGGAACAGCCAGGACTCAAACTGGCACTCATATGGTATACTGGCATCCCAGGCAGTAGCTTAACCTGCTACACCACAATACCAGCCCCAGCTTACAAAATTTTTTAAAGCAGAATTTATTCATTTTCAGTTAGAAACAGTTCTTAAAAAAATGACGGGAAATGATTACAGAAGAATAAGCAGTGACACTAACAAAAGCCATAGAAATATCAGAGAAAGTAACCTCCTTAGGAAAACAGATCAGGTTTGAAAATGATGCCACATTTTCCAGTGATTGTGAGTTTTCAAAAAGTTGCAGAGCAATTAATTAAGAACTGTAAACTGATCTGAATTTACCAAAGTTATATGGACTGGTGAGACTCTGGGTACGTGGGTGATTGATATGGAATTTGCTTTTCATTGCAAATCATTTTGTGTCTCTCAAATCACATGCATTATTTACTCCTAAAATTAATTAACAGTTGGCTGTGTTTGGAAATAACAAATATAGCTAAAACCCTGTATGTGGGTGAAAATCTTCCTCTTTCAGCCAAAAATGACAAGATTGAGCCTGGTAAGCTATACAATCAGTGACCAGGTAAATTAAGCCAGAAAGTGGAATGCCATTTTATGCCTGGCTGAGTTTCAAAATTGACACCACATCAACGTCTGACTCATGCCAAATAATACATCTGAGTTTTAAAAAAATAAAAATGGTAACTGGTATAGTCTAGAAATTTTCCATTGTGGAAATTAAATTTTAACAGAATGAAATGGCAATTTGGTGATATTAATTAGCATGGTCCTCAAGCAATTAAATAAATCTTTAAAAATGTATTTTTATATTCTCAAGACAGAACCTGTCCAAAAATATCACCCTAATGATGGTGGTCTCTGAACACCAGATTAAAATACACCCAGGCTTCATGTGTTTTATAATTACAGAGTTTGGAAATTTTCATTAGCTTTCAGATTAGCAAGGAATGTTATGAACAGAAAGATTTTCCAAATTTCTCTATGTGTGATCATATTTACACAGTTTCCCAAGACCTTGTAGAAAGTCTAGTAATGTGTTGAGCTTTAGCTCTTGTCTTGAGAAGTTTCTAACCATGTAGCTATTTTATCTCCATAGTTTATCACATTCTTTTTTTTAATATTTATTTATTTATTTATTTGAAAGCAGAGTTACAGAGTAAGAGACAGAGAGAGGGAAAGAAGGAGAGAGGTAGAGAGGGAGAAGGAGAAGGAGAGGGAAAGAGTTGGAGAGGGAGAGGAAGAGGAGGGGAGGGAGAGAGAGACAGAGACAGAGACAGAGACAGAGACAATCTTCCATCCACTGGTTCAGTTCCCAAATGGCCACAACCACCAGGGCTGAGCCAGGTCAAAGCCAGGAACCTGGAGCTTTTTCTGAGTCTCCTACATAGGTTCAGGGGCTCAAGAACTTGGGCCATCCTCTGCTGCTTTCCCAGGCATATTAGCAGGGAGTTGGATCGGAAGTGGAGCAGCCACGACTAAAACTGGTACCCATATGGAATGCTGGTACTGCAGGCAGTGGCTTAACCAGCAGCAGCACAGCACTGGCCCATAGTTTGTAACATCCTTATGACGATGATAAGCAAAATCTCTGCTCTCTCATGACTATTTGCACATGAGCAAAATAAGAAAATATTTTAGAAATCTGATCTCCTCCCCCAAAACATGCAGGATACTTGTAGGATTGTGGAGTTTTCAATTAGCAATAATCGCACCTCAGATAAACCTCATTGGCTATGATACTGCCACTGCACAAAGCTAGGATTATGGAGTGGAATGGATTTTAGACATCAGTTTAGTCAAACTCCATTTTTTCATAGATGAAGAATGCTAAGGATCATAGAAGTCAGATGATCGATTCATGAACACTCAGCAAATACTCAGCAAATGGAACCAGACTGCAAGTTTCTTATCAAGTTGCCTCGCAAAGAATATGTATTTTCCTACCATTAAATGCACACTTGTTATTTCCTGATAGTCCCAGTACAGACTTTGACATAAAAATACTGGGGTAGAGAAGTATGAGAAAAGTGAACCACTAAGCCTGCATATGAGAACAGAACCCTCATGATCTCATCTTTGCCCAAAGGCCTCACCTCTTACTACTACTAGTTACCAGCACTGATTTTGGGGGAATGCTTGTATTCAGATGCTAAGAGATGGTTTGAGAACTTCAGTCCCACAAGTTCAAATTTCTCTGATCCCTACCTGAAATACCCTACCTGAAATCATATTTTTGTGCATTAGCTTTGGCTGAAACTTTCTTTATTATCTGTAGTTACCAACAGTATTTGTAAACCACTTCTTTCCAGTGCAGTCTTGCCTGATCATCATTAACTATTTGTCTGCTTTTATGATGTTTTATGCAGAATTATCCTCAAACTTTGGATTTAAAAACACAAATCATGCATTCTATTAATAACTACCTGCATATGTGAAGAATAATTTCTGAATGGAAGATGCTTGCTAAGCATCTCTGTTGTGTTTCTTTGGAACTGTTTTGTTTTGTTTTGTTTTGTTTTTTTTCTTTTAAGGAAAAAGAACTGCCCAGATTTTCTTGTTGCCCTTGCCCTTTAATTCACCAACAGGGAAATAAATGCAACCAACAATTTCTCAATAGCTCCCTACTCCAGTATCCTGCAGTGGCTACCTGACATTTTTGATATAGGCATTTTGATGTTGTCCTTTATATATGTCTATTTTCATTCTGACTAAAAAGCAAACATTAAACTTTCTCACCAGAGATAAAAGCCTTATTTTTTCTCTGCTTATAAGAATAAATGGAAATCTCCCTGTTAAAAATGGGTACTTTAATTTATCTTTTTGTTTTACATATGTTTGCAGAAATGTAACAACAACAAAAAAAAACAAAATGATGGAGAAAGGAGATAAGAGATTTCCACGAATTTTTAGAAAGAAGATAACAATGATTGAGAGCTTGGATCTAGATCTGTATAAAGCAAGGCTTTTTAATTACTCATTATCTTCAAGAAGTTTACCATATAATTGGGGAACAATCTAACAAATTGGGTATAAAAGGCAATTCATAATTAGGCGCTAAGTTGTGCTGGCACTGAGAATGTTCCCAGTTCAAAGTATTGAGGGCAAGATCAGAAAAGAAAGCTTTGTGGTGAGAAGAATGCTTCTCAACTCTCCTTCTTACCCCCTGCCTGTTTCACAGCCATATACATATCTCCAGGAAAATTACTAATTTGTTTTCATAATAGGAGTACATGAGTGTACTACAATTAAAGAAATTAATGAAAGAAGTATTTATAGGAAATTTCATTTGGAATAAATTACTGCAATGTTGCTGGGTGTGACAATGGTATTGATTCTGTTTTTAAGTTTTTCTTATAAAGATGCATATTAAAATAGTTATAGATAATTTTTTCATAACAATACTCTACAAAAATTTTTTTGGTGCAATATAAATAAAAGAGCAGAATATTCATCATTAATGAAGCTGGGCAGTTGGTCTGAGAAGATGACTATTCTCTCCCTTTTTCTATGTTTTGATTTCACACAACACAAACAAAAAACCCACAGCAAATATTATACTTGTAGGCAAGATTAAATTTTGAGACAAAAACCTAAAGCCCTCTGTCACTAATACTTCTTTGGCATCTGTTGAGTTTAGCTGTGGAAGAAAACCAGTGGCTTGTGCCAATTCTCTCTCTCTTGCTCTCTCTCTTTTATTAGGTATTATTAGAGAGACAGAGAGAGAGCTCTTTTCTGCTGATTCATTCCCCACATGCCCACAGAAACCAGGAATTGACCAGGGCCAAAGCCAAGAGCTGGGAACTCCATCCAGGTCACCCACATGGATGGCAGAAGCCCAACCACTTGAGCCTCCATTACTTCCTCCAATGGTCTGCACTAGCATGAAGCTGGAGTCAGGAGCCAGAGCTGGGAATCAAACTCAAGCACTCTGATGGGGGGTGCAGGCATCTTAAGTGTAGTCTTAACTGCTAGGCTAACCATCTGCTCCCAAACCTCTGCTTTGTTACATATTGTTTATGTACACAAATGCACAGAACAATGATATAAAATCAAAGAAACATGCCAGGTGTTGAGAAGGCTGCTAACAGATGATCAAATTCCAGTTTCTTTCTTCCATAATGACAGAGGCCCCATCTTGTTAGGTATGCATGGTATTCAGTCGTTCCCACTGAGATGGGAGAGGAAGCCATTGTTGTCAACTGGAAGAAGGAGTTAGTTTTAGATTCGTTTTTCCAGATGTTATAGTTAACTTTTTATGTCAATTTGACGGGGTTAAAAGATGCCTACATAGCTGGTAAAATACTATTTCTAAGTATGTCTGCAAGAGTGTTTCCGGAAAAGTCTAGTATTTGAGTCAGTAGATTGCATAAAGACCTGCCCTGAAATGTGGAGGGACAAGAAAGGCGAATTTACCATCTACTTGAGCTGTGAATCTGTCTTGTCCCGCACTCTACCAGCAGCATTCTTGATTCTCTGGCCTTTGGACTCCTAGACACATACCAATGGACCACTCCACCCTCCCCAGGTATTAGGTCTTTGGCCTTAGACTGAGTTATACTGTCATTTCCTCTGACCTTTGGGACTTGGACTTCGACTGAACCACACAACTGGCTCTCCTGGCTCTCCAGCTTGTAAAAGGCATATTGTGGGACTTCATTGCCTCAGTAATCCCGTCAACCAATTCCCATAGTAAATATTCTCTCACTTTTAACTATATTCATCTAGTCTATTGGTTATGTTTCTATGGATAATATTGACAAACATAATAACTTTAGCAGTGAAGATGATGGAAATTTTAAAAAAAGAAAGTGAAATTTATAGGCTTTAAATATTAATACTTAATCCTTTGAAATGAGCACTCAAATGTGTAGATATATAGTTATAAAATAATTTTAGCTTCCTTTATCCTATAGATTGCAATAATTCTTTTTTATCCAAATATGTTCATGTATACCTATGTTCTTTTACAGGGATAGATACACAAAAAGGTGTTATTAAAAAGAACCCACTGGCTTGTATAAAATATAAAACTTCATTTCTCTTGTCTATAGTTTCAAAGTAAACTGTCCAGATTATTGTAGCTCTCCTCCATGTGGTCATTCAGAAAAGTAAGATTCCATGTTGTATGTATACAAACATCTTCATATCTGGTTCCAAAGAATTTTAATGTATACCAATTTTTTTTAAAAAGTTCTTTACAATAATTTGGTGCTGGTATTATTCTAATCTTCATTGAATATGGTAAACTTTCAGTCTTTTAGCACTGTAACTGACTTTAGTAGTTAAGTTACAGAAGGAACAAGTAGTCGGTGTAGCAAGATGCTGCTTGGGATGTATGCCTCCCAAATTGGAGTGTCTAGGTTTCAGTTCCAACTCTGATTCTGTTTCCAGCTCTCTGCTAAGCATACTATGAGAGGGAGCAGATGATGACTCAAGTAGTTGGTCGTGTCGACCACATGGGAGACCTGGATTGAAATTCAGGCTCCTGGCTTTACCTGGGTTGGCCCTGGCTGTTGTGGTCATTTATGGCATGAACCAGGGATGAAAGATATCTGTCTTGGTCTCTCTGTATTCTCACCTTTGAATCAAATGAAAATGAATACATTTTTAAGGGCAAGCGTATGGTGCAGTGGTTAAGTTGCCACTTGGGACATCCACATCCCATACTGGAGTGCCTGGTTCAAGTTTCAGCTACTCTGTTTCCCACTCAGCTTCCTGCCATTATGCACTCTGGGAAGGCAGCAGATGATGGCTCAAGTATTTGAGTTTCTGCTACCCATGTGGAAGACTCAGATTGACTTCTGGGCTTCTGATTTCAGCCTGGATTAGCCCTGGCTGTTACACACATTTTGGGAGTAAAACAGCGGATAAAAGGTCTCTATTCATCTGTTTGTCTCTCTCTGTCTTTCTGCCTTTCAAATAAAATGAAAATAAAGAAATTAAAAATAAATAAATGAATTTTTAGAAAAAAGAAATTAAGCACAGGTACTTTGTTTTAATAATCTAATTTGGAATTCAGAAGAAAGATAAACTTCTTTGAAGAAACAATTTTTAATGCTGTGAAACTTAGAAAAATATATGCAAGCTTATTCTGAGCAGATAAACTTAATTGACAAATATTTTATGTTTTCTGCTACAGTGAGTAGACACAGAAAATGAATGATTTAGAAAAAGTAACAAAAAACTTCCATTAGAACATAATTTCAATTGGACTAAAACTAATTAGCCTTGCAACAACTACTTTGAAAATCCTTTTAAATTTCCATTTGTAGTGAGGCACTTTTTATTTTATTCTGTCTCAATACTACTATGAAAAAGTTAATTGTATCATGCTGGTTTTAAGTGATAAATCTACCTTGAATAGATGATAGAATTTTGAATAGAGAAGACAGTTTTACTAAACAAAACTATTTAAAATACTTAGCTAGGAAAAAATTTAAATAGGAAATAGTATTAAACATGCAAGAACCTTTTTCTGTGAACTCTGAATAATATAATTTAAGAAGTTGGAAGTAAATATTTCATGGTTATTGGGAGAAATAATGTCTAAGCCCAAATTTCTATTGGTTGGGGTCTGTTGAGCTGTTATGTATGCCCTCAAAAAGACAGAAAAAGAGGTGGGTGTTTGGGACAGTAGTAAAGACTCTGCCTGTGGTGTTTGTATCCCATATTGGAGGGCTTGGGTTCAAATTCTGGCTCTTCCTCCAATTCCAGCTTTGTGCTAATGCAAACCCCGGGGGCAGAGCGGGTGGGGGTG